GAAGAGCTACCAGAGGTGTTGAAGAGCTACCAGAGGTAGTTGAAGAGCTACCGGAGGTGATTGAGGAGCTACCCGAAGTTGTCGAGGAATTACCAGAGGTAGTTGAGGAGTTACCGGAGGTGATTGAGGAGTTGCCGGAAGCAGTCGAGGAGCTACCAGAGGTAGTTGAAGAGCTGCCAGATGTGATTGAAGGGTTGCCAGAGATGGTTGAGGAGTTGCCAGAGGTAATCGAAGAATTGCCAGAGATGGTTGAGGAGTTGCCAGAGGTAATCGAAGCGATGCCGGAAGTGGTTGAAGAAATGGCGGAGGAGGTGGTTGAAGAGGTGCCTGAGTTTGTCTCCGCCGAGTCCCTGCAAGAGGAGGCGCGGCTAATCACGGAAGAAGAGCGAGCCAGCGACGAGTACGTCTCGCTGGAGCCGACCCTGGAGTCACTGCCGTCGGGCGAGTTTGCGGATGAACTGGTCTCGGAGGCGGAGTACGTCTCTTCTGAGGGGGAATACGTATCGTCGCCGGAATTCGTGTCTGACGAGGACGAGGAGTATGCCTCAGAGGAGTATGCCTCAGAGGAGTCTGAAGAGTATGCTTCAGAGGAAGACGAGGAGTATGCCTCAGAGGAGGACGAGGAGTATGCCTCAGAGGAGGACCGGGAGTATGCCTCAGAGGAGGGCGTAGAGGATCTTGTTACCTCGATGGAGGCACCGGAGGCAGTCGCTGCACCGGAAGTGGTTGAGAAAGTGGTTGCACCGAACGTTCTCGTGCCGGGGGCGGTTGTTGATCCGACGTCGGCGGTGAGTGCGTCTGCGATGCAGGAGCAGGATTTGCCGCGACTGGTTTGGGGTGATGTGCCGCCGGTGACGCCTCCAACTCCGCCGGTGGCGGCGAAGGAGCCGGTGATATTCTTGGACGGCTTTGGTCGTCCGGTGGTGCCTGAGATTACGCCTTGGGACGAATTGAATTTGCCGCACATTGAGTTCCTGGAGGACCCGGAATTGGGGTTGATTCGTCTGGACGCCAAGCTGGATGAGTTCGGTCGGCCGCTGGCGCCGGATATGGCGCCGCCTGAGGAAGGCGCGATGGCAGTTAAGCCGGTAGTGAAGCCGGCAATAAAAGCTGCAGTGGAACAAGCGGTGGAACGGGCGGTGCCGGCGGCGGCACCGCCGCTCCCGACGGCGCCGGGCATGGATTTGGTGGAGGCCGGCCGTGGGGCGGAGAGGCCGGAAGACCGTGCTCGAATAGACCTCACGGCGCCGGACTTGGCGACACAGTACGACCGAGTAACACTGAGTAAGGCGCCCGGGGTCCAGACGGGGCTGGGCGACGTCTCGGGTCTGGACGTGATCGACATGGTCGTGGGCCCGGACTTCGACTTGAGTACTCTGGACATTGAGGAGGGGCGACGGCGACCGTCGGCGGTCGTGGCCCCAGAGTTGGAGACGGTGGCGGGAGGCGAGCGAGGACGAGCGAAGGAGGGCGGGCTGGATGGACTTGAAAGCGCAGCGGGGGTGCAGGTGGGCCGGAAGGGCGGCGACGCGGCCTTCCGTCTAAAGGGTCCTGGAGAGCTGGACTTAGAAGTGGACGGCTTGCGAAGATTTGGGAAGGCGACGCCGTTCAAGCCTTTGGAGGCGCCGAAAGGGCGAGAGGTACCGACGCTGAAAGAGCGGGAGGAAGAAGCAGCAAAAAAGCCGGAGACGGAGGAGGCGCGTCGGACCAAATGGAAGGAATCGCTGCCTAAACAAAAGGTAGAGGCCGAACCCGAAGCGGAGGCCGCCAGACGCCGCGTTCCGGGCGGCATCCGACCTAAGTTAGAGCGCAAGGAGACAGGCGACATCGTTCCCGGTCGCAAGATCGTGGTACGCGGTCCGCCCGTCTACCAGGGCCAACACCGCTTCGGTTACCGACCAGATGCGGCCGAGACGGTCCCCTCGCTACGGCCTGGACTAAGACCGGAAGCCACCGAAGAAACGCCGGAACAACGCGACTTGGAACACACCCGAGTGGTCGAGCGAGAGGCACCTGGTGGGGCCGCCGTAATCACACGCAAACCAATCAGCATACCCGATGCGTTTAAATACAAACCCGGTGGCTTCGGCTGGGAGGCAAAGCTCTCTAAGGCCGCGAAGCCGGAAACGACAGGACCCAAGCGTTTTGGTTTCGGCTTTGGTCCTCGGGGTCCTGTCACCGAACTGCCGCAACGCAAAAAGGAAGAAGCCGAGGTCGAAAGCCGCGGCCGCCGTATCAGCGTCCAACACGGGGCGCTGCCCGATGCAGCCGGGCCGCAACGCGTCGACTTGCGCCCCAGTGGCCGAGTCCGGCCGGGCGCAGCCGGGCCGCGTCCGGACGTGGCGGTGCAGCGGCCCGACTTTGAGAAGGCGTTGTTCCAGAAACGCCCCGCCAAGGCGCCCCCGGGACCGGGCTTCCGGCCGGTGACGCCCGCAGAAGAGTTGTCGCCTGAAGAGGACCTGTCTTCCGAAATGTTGTCTTCTCGACGGGCGGCCTCGCCACGGGCGGCCTCGCCACGGGCGCCGTCCGAGAGGTCGCCGTCAGAAGAAGAGGAACCGTCTTCGCCGTCGGAAGAGACCGTGTCCGAAGAAGTGATATCGGAGGAAATCGACGAAGACGGCAACGTGCAGACGCGCACTTACAAGACCCACGTGCGACGTAAGAAACCTCCGCGTCCGCGACGTCGGCGACCTCCACGGACGACCGCGGAAGAGGAAGAAGTGGAAATGGTCTCGACGGAAGAATCGTACGAGAGCGAGGACGCGGAGACGGGGAAGAAGGTGCGGAAGAAGCGACGTGTGCATCGGCCAATCAAGAAGGTGATCCAGGACCTGTATGGCGATTGGGAGCGAATGGCAGGGCAGTTTGGTCGCGGGAAGGACCGTCAGCGACGCCGGCGACACGGGGAGCGGGAGGCGCAGGAGGACGCGGACTGGGGCGACTACTTGGGTGACCAGGGCACTGCCGGAACGGCGGGTCGCCGCCGACCGGGCCGGCCGGGTGCACGCGGAGAAGGCGCAGAGGGGGAGGAAGGGGGAGGCGACTTCTGGAAAGGCTTCGGCTTCGGAGGTCCCGAGCGGCCAGGCGACCGGCGTCGCAGACGGCCGGGGGCGCCAGCGGAGGAAGAGGAGGAGGAGGAGTCGCTAGGGAGCGAGGTCGGGAGCGAAGTAGCCTCGGACGAGGTGGTGGTGGCTCCCGATGGTACTCGCCGGCGCCGCCGGCCACGCCGGCGGCGAGCCGACGCCGGTCCCGGCGGGCCCGGCGGAGGAGACTGGGAAGCGATGTACGGCGCGGGTGGCGGTGGTGGTGGCAAGGCGGGAGAATTCGGGTGGGGTCGTATGCGCAAAGTTAAGGGTGCAGACTTGAACCTGCAGAAGCAACTGGGACGCTATTTGCCGACGACTTCCGCCTTTTCCAAGTGGAGTCAGTGGCGGCGCGGGAAGGAAGAGGATAAGCGGAAGAAGAAGAAGAAGGAACCTAAGCGCGACTCGACGGAGCTGATTCCCATCATCAAGTTGCCCGAAAATCCGAGGCCGGCCCCGCCCAAGTCACCGCCAGACATCGCGTCTCTGCGTCTGGAAGGCGACGTGGCCAAACGACGCCGCAAACAGGCCGCGAAAAAGGCGGGCGTGGAGGCAGGTGCGATGGACTTTTGGAGTTCCCAGTACGGCGCTGAAGCAGCGCCCGCCGTCACCTCGGAACTCGCCAAGGTGCGCCTCAAACGGCGCAAGCACCCCGAAGAACGCCACCGGCGACACGCTGGCGCCGCAGAGGCTGCAGCAGGCGCCGCCCAACCCGACTGGCTTGCTTTCCTCAAGGTCCCCGAACCAGCGGT